AATTTTCCAAAAAACGGATGAATCGCCTATATGCAAATTTTTGAAATTTGTCATAAATGATTATATATATTTTTTAAATGCTTTGACATATTATCACAAAAATTGGTGCAGTTTATATCAGTGACAGCTTATCCTGAAGTTATCTGAGCAGTTTGAAGACCATGTAAGGTTATGTAGATGTAATTACATTGAACAAAAATTCATTTTGTGTCGCTATGTGTTTACAGATTTCTTGGTTTATGCCGAATTGCAATGTTATCCCATTTGTTAATAAACATAACATTTCTCAAGAGCTATTTTTGAAGGGGACACAAATAATTGTTAGCCAAAATTGAAATTGTAAGGATAGTCAAGTGTACACAGCATGTGTACATAGCATGGAGACCATGTTTAAATATGAGTTAGGTTCATAGGTTCACCACACAGTCATATCATAATTACTAAATTATTTTGTGCCCTCCACATAGTATTTTAGGTTTCATCTGGGATTGTGGATGTTTCTTATTTAGATATTCAACTGCAGCAAGCCCTCATCAGCCACTTAACATCATATTGAGCAAAACCCAACATATCGGTCGGTCTACAATATTAGCCTAATATCAGTTCACACAGGCTTATCGCCGAATTAGTGGTAGTGGGTGACTTACTATCCAACAAGCTATTAAACAAGCCAAGCTACCACACAAGCTAGGTAACCTTATAATCGCTCATAATATACATAAGCATTGTAGCACTTAACAATCTCTGTGGAGCTGCTTTGTTGTACTTGAACTTGAATTTGAACTTGGAAATTAAACCATTGTACCATATGTCAACTGCCATTCAATACACTGTCAGAAGAAGAAGAAAAAAAAAAGGATGCAGGGGTAGTCAACCCTACTCCTGGAAGGCAACCAGCCTGCAGAGTTTACCACCAACCCTAATCAGAGCAAGCAAGGTTGGAACTAATGTTTATATTAAGATAGCTAGACCTGCCTTAAAGGGACACCTTTGCAATAGCATGCACAGAATTCCACATGGGGGTTGCAATTTATATACCCCTAAAGCTTCTAAAAGGTGTCTGTATTTTCGTGTTTAGTTGCAAATGCAACAGATATTCTGTTGTTTGTGATGTACTTCACCTGATCTTCCATTTAGAGTGCACATAACTAACCAATAAGGATCACTCACAAATCCTCTAATGCAATCCTGTAGAAGTCAGCCAATCTGATTAAGACTGACTAGATTGATAAATCATTCCCAGTTTAGTGTGCCATACTGTATGTGTATGACAATCAGTGAACGGTATGGGTGGTCCATAGGCATGTGCTGTCTGAGGCAATGACTAGATGTCAGTATAATACCAAGATGACTTGCCATATCAGTGCAACAAAAAACGGGGTGCATCTTTAAGCCAACCAAAATGCTTTTTATATGACCAGCAGACCACATGTAACTATAAAACTGTTTAACAGGTCATTACTTTTTTAACCCACAATATATACCACAATATATAGTTCAGATACAATTTAAACTGAACTGAGCTGGACGATGACATCACTGAATTCAATGATGAACTGCATTTAACTGAAAATTGAGTGTTTACTATTGTCCTTTTGCATTGACACATTATTTTCCTATTTGATACTGTAAAGCTGCTTTGGCACAATCTGTATTGTTAAAAGCGCTATATAAATAAAGGTGACTTGACTTGACTATACATCTGCAACTGTGCAACCCCAGTGCTTATGTCTGGAAGTTCACTTTCTCTTGTAGAAAATGTGTAATATTTATTTAACAACAATTACAGATACTTCTTTTCCAAAAAAGCTGAGCAACTAAAAAGTTATTTAGTTCCACATGTGATTGCAGTTTCCCTTTTTTAATATCTTCGATATCTTCTGAAATGTCCTGTTCAATTAATAACTAATAAAAACCCCAGATGGGACACAATGCAAAATGACATTATTTTAAAAAAGAAAGGTGTTTATGAAGGAAGTAGTATTAGCTGGTAGGACATGTCAAGAAAATAACTAATATCATAGTGGCATTTTTTGATTTTGGAAAAAAAAAAGGTGGTTCCCTCTGGATCAAATCCTGGGAGGTCTTTCTTGGTGGAGTTTGCATGGTTTCCCAGTGTTGACGTGGTTTTCCACCTTCAATTGAAAGATATGCAGGACAGGTGAATTGGAGACACTAAATTGTCCATAAATGTCAGTGTGAATGTGTTTAACCCTCTATGGTACCGTGTTGCCTCCAGTAACAACATATTTTTTTAAATAAAATGAGACACTCATTTAATTGACCAATGCTGTCTCAGGGAAGTAGAAGTCAAATACTAATAAATGAGCATACAAAAAAAGTGGTCACATGACCCACAGGGGTCCATATTAGGTGCGTTCGACTTCATGCAGCACTGCGCAGACCGACCGGCGGCTGACTTGAAACAGTGCATGCCGGTTAGAAATTTAGTCCGACGTGAACCGGCGCGGACGCCACGTCACTGTCACGTGTGGCATCAAAGTACCGCGACAGCATTTCGAGAGCAGCCGGCTGACTCAGCTGGCGCAGCTTTTTCAGAGCGACTGCAGGAGTGCTGATGACGACACAGCTGTTTCACGAATCGCTGTCTGTAGCCGTGCTTCAAGTCGAACGCACCTTTTGTTTCCACTTTCAGGACATGTGCACATGTCACATGACTCCATATTTTGTCCAATGAAAAGTGCCTTTTTCATCAATTTCCGTGCATATAATTGCCTGCAAAAAATCGTAGTCACCTTCATTGGAAAGTAAAGAAGTATTTTCAAAAACTTTACATAATATTTCATCAAATGTATCATAGGAAATTACAAAAAACTGCATGCTGCCTCAAGGCAACATTGTACCGCAATGGAATTGCATTAGGCCATGCAGGCATACTAGGTTAGAATACAAGTATATGATATTTGTAAGGAAAATAGTTAGAATTATCTAAATGTATTAGAATTTTTGCATTATTTTGTAGTGGATTTTCAAGAATAGTAATTATCATACTATATCTGCACATATTATGATTTGTCTGTTTAGAGGAATTGCTTCCTCAGTTTTCACAAGCAATGAGATGCCATTAGTGAAGTAGGAGATTTTGCATACATGTGCTTGTGTGTGTATGTGCATGCTTGTAAGGATAAAGTGCATATTAGGATAAGGTTATGATTATTTTTCATTTTTTACTTTGAAACAACACATATTATGTTTTGGTATGACAACAGATATGATAGTTTAGTTATACTTGTGATCCACGATGTTGCCTGAGATCAACAGCTGGATTTGAAATGTTATTTTTTATTAAATATGAGATGTGCAATACACTAAAATCTAGATAAATCTGTTTGTTCAAGTGTTCGTTTAAAGAAATTGATGTTTTCAATAAATATATTTCTTTTTTCTGCATGAAAATGTCAAATGTTTAAAGTTGTCCATTGTGGTACAATGTTGCCTTGAGGCAACAAACTTTTACAAAATAAAGAAATAAAAAAATACTGAAAAATGTTATTGATATTGTTATAGTGTCCAATTTTAAGTAGGAAAAACATCACAAATAATTTTTTCCTCATTGATATCATATTCCATACCGTAGAGGGTTAATAGATATATCTACGTATCTACCTATCTGTCTGTCTGTCAGTCAGTCAGTCAGTCAGTCAGTCTGTCTGTCCCAAATAATTACTTTCATTAAATATATATAAAATAAAACTGTTGAAAAGGGTGATCTGTCCCTTTAAGAATCTATTATAACTATTTTCCCTATAATCATATTCACAAAGGCCGCTGATGCAAGACTCTGCAATTACTTTTTTGAAAACACCAAAAGTTTATTGACAACAGACACAGACACACCAAAATACATCAAACATCTATCAGTGACAAAAGCCAATTATGGTGTAGCCTAACGCTGCCTGCATCTGGGCCAAAAACCTTGAACACACCCAAAAGACCACAGCCAAAGGGCAACTACATTCTGCACCTGCATGAGAGGGAATAACTCTGCATATAAGCAGATGTCATATCACAAGTGACATGAAGTTGAAAAATCATAAGAGCCTGCCCTCTTGACTTAGTCATTTGCTTGCTTTCATCAATTGACGGTGTGTCACGGCCTCAAGCCCATACATACATACATACATA